GCGCTCTCTTCCCGACCGGCGACAAATACATCGGAGAATTTACTGCTTCGCCGATCGTTACGTCATTTGGCCTCTTTCAAGCGAACCGTGCGGCCGCGTTGCTCTCGCGACTCTTTGTTGTCGATCTGCTGCGCGAGAAGTCGACGCCAATGACGTAAATGACGCCATGTTGCTTCGACGATTATCGTTTTTTTAATCGCCGAACCACGCGGATAAAAAGAAGATCTGGATCTGCGTGTTGTTCGTGTCCGATTAGAAGATAGCCGGTCTCGTCATCCGATTCTATTTCTTCGCGTGCTGAACTTGAGGCAGTATCGGCGTAACGTAACTCGAAGAAAAAACTTGCAGGAAGATTGTCAGCGTTGGAAAAATGAGAAACCGGTGCAGTCGAGGTATGGTACGGCGGAAAAGTAGCAAATTACAAGCGCGTGTACGGAGCGACGCGTTTCGTCGTTTCTCGCGTGTTGTCCGATCGTTCTCCAGATGATCGTGCATCGATAAACGACGATTGTGCAATTGCTACCCATTGTACTCATTTGAGAAGCGGCGCTGCTATGAATACAATAGTAAACGTTTCAAGAACAAGACGTAAGCGGCGCGGACACACGATGCACAACGTGTATCACGGTAGCCAACCGAGTGGGGTTTGCTGAAATTTTTATGCGATAAAGCACCTAGCGAATCGTCGACATCCTCTAGTATGGCTGTATTTAGTCGTAATTGCAGATTATCTACCCTGTAATTGCCGCCTCTTTGCGAGCTCGTGTCTAATCGAGCATCGAGCGCTCAATTTGCGAGAACATTAACACGAGCGATCGGTCGACGAAGACGCGAATGATCGAACGAACGAGTTTCTATACAGACGCTCCGGCGTGTTCCGTAATTTTTGTCCGTTACAACGCGTCGTTAGGCAACTCACCTCTCGATCATTAAGTCCCGGATAGCCCTTCATTTAACGAATTACGCGAATTATAATACCCTTGTAGAGTCGATGAAGTCGACCATAGATGGCAGCGTGACTTCTTTACCCGGGCTACACTGCACACGCCAACCAAGACAGAGAATTACCGTGCTAACGCTAATGTCACCCTCGCGGTGAGATAAGAAGCTCGAGGCGATTTCACCCTCTTCGTCCCTCCGATACTTTCTTATCCCGTGCCAGGATCCTTCGCTTGAATTATGAGGGCGATTTTTATTATTCGCCCGCGTCTCTTCCTCCCGTTTCTTACTGTCAGCCAACCCTCCTTTTTCTATCTGCCAGCGCTCATAGGCGCCGACTCGTGGAAACTTTCTTCTGGGAAAACGAGGGTAATGGAGTTCAACACGAAGTCGAAGCTAGATAGAGAATAAAAGAGGAAAAGAGACGTAGAACGGTAAAGTAGGAACAAATTGATACGGAGAATTGAGTTTCGAACGGCGTAATTTCGGGTCGCCCAAGGAACAAGCACGATACGTAATTCAGCGATCCAGGTAAAACGATTGGCAAACGGGAATCGAGAATAGTTCCTCATACCATCGGTAATTACAAGAGGAAGTAGACGAAGTAATTTAATCCGCAATCACTGCTCTCGCGAAAGTTTATAGAAAAGTTTTGTAGAAAATTCGGTATCGTTGAATGGTGTCCGATTTGAAACAGGTTACAGATGATTTCTTCGTTACGTTTCGTCCGTTTCTCTGCGGCGAGGTAATCGCGCTCGATGTTGAAAAAATTGCCGAGCAATTAAGTGGAGACCTCGTCGAGCGCGGATGATAAAGCGAAATGGGATAGTCGGTAATCGGCAATGGGCCGAAAGACTGTCGAGCCACCCCGTAAACAACGTTACAGTAATGTACTCCCGCGGTGTTCACCCCGTCGTCGTGCCATCTCTCTTCGGCCGTTCACTACACAGCAACTATAATAGCGGCGTTACACCGTGTAACCAGTGCAACTCTTACTCGCGTTCGAGCGTGCACGCTCGCACACCTACGTACGTGTAGAAATAATACACGGGTTTCTAACGCGGTTGTATAAAGTGCAGAAGAGTGGGGAAATGGTATGTCGGTGCGCGTGTATGTGTACGTATGATGGGGGTAGGTGGCGGGAGAGGGGAGACAGAAAGAGAGAGATAGGAATAGGTAGAGGGGGATGAAGCACACGCAGAGAGTTATGATGCCGCACAATTAGCAGTTCGTGTGAGAGAGATCGATCGCTGCCGAGAACATACATCAACGGTGTAAACGCAGGACACGTATCGCGTTTATATACGCGGAAACGCGACTGTTCGTACCTCCGCCTATATAGTACGTGTCCACCACTACCACCGTCGGTGTGATGAAACTTTCGAACTACCCGAAAATTTGTGTACTGTGCATCGCTGTTTTTCTGCTTCTCTTGGATATACGTTTCCGAAGATTAGAAGTTCATGGTATCATAGACGCAACGGTTAGAGTATTCCGAGAATAGAATTACACAGGATAGAAATTTTACGTATCGAATATGTCTTTTTATAATTTTATATGTTAGTTCGAATCTTCATATGGCTTGAAAGATATTTGAGGAGAGGAGAAATATTTTTATGTATATTTCGGTATCTTGGACGAAACATTCTAGGAATTATTTCATCCTGTGTTCTTTGCCACATTTTCAAATTGTATCTTTGGCTAGAAGAAGTTTTAACGCTTTGCACTCCGAATTTTATTTTATTTAGTGTTTCGTTAAGTGTTTTATTTGAAATTTACTTCAACTAAAAAGTAAGACAATTTAAATAAATAAAGGGGAAAGAAATTCACCTAAGTACCAGTTTTATTCACACTATTGTTGTATTTCGTAATTTTTAAGTGTATATCTTGATATAGCTTTTCTTTCGCACGGTTCACAAAAAAACGCGAGACTCGGCCTGAGATAAAAACTGGTGTCGAGTCACACTCGAAGTGTTTTATTTGAAATTTACTTGAACTAAAAAGTAAGACAATTTAAATAAATAAAGGGGAAAGAAATTCACCTAAGTACCAGTTTTATTCACACTATTGTTGTATTTCGTAATTTTTAAGTGTATATCTTGATATAGCTTTACTTTCGCACGTTTCACAAAAAAACGCGAGACTCGGCCTGAGATAAAAACTGGTGTCAAGTCACACTCGAAGTGTTTTATTTGAAATTTACTTCAACTAAATAAAGGGGGAAAAAATTCACTTAAGTAGGCAGTTTTATTCACACTATTGTTGTATTTCGTAATTTTTAAGTGTATATCTTGATATAGCTTTTCTTTCGCACGGTTCACAAAAAAACGCGAGACTCGGCCTGAGATAAAAACTGGTGTCAAGTCACACTCGAAGTGTTTCATTTGAAATTTACTTGAACTAAAAAGTAAGACAATTTAAATAAATAAAGGGGAAAGAAATTCACCTAAGTACCAGTTTTATTCATACTATTGTTGTATTTCGTAATTTTTAAGTGTATATCTTGATATAGCTTTACTTTCGCACGTTTCACAAAAAAACGCGAGACTCGGCCTGAGATAAAAACTGGTGTCAAGTCACACTCGAAGTGTTTTATTTGAAATTTACTT